TTGACTCTTGGCAACTGCCTGGACTAAACCCTGCAATTTTCTTGCCAACTTTTATTTTTTTCCAAATAGCTTGCCATTGACTTCTTGGTCCTTGGGCCAAGAAACAATGCCTGGCCCAGAATCACCCAGCTGACTATGTGCCTTAGGCAGGAGTAGAACTCAACAGTTTTCCAGGTTCTAGGCTGATGACTTATTCACCATACAAAATTGGCTCTCTATACTAAGCTATAGTAATTTATTTCTTTGTACACCACACAGCATTTGCATGTTTTAAATCAAGGTTTAGAAATAAGCAGCCCCTTGCCTGAACTCTTCTAGTGCCGGAAAGCCTGTTGAATTAGAAATTACTCTAACAACTTTAACAATCTCTGGATTCTGGATAGCTTTTATTTTTACTGTATTTTTTTTCTCCTTTTTTTTCTGTGTTTAACTATAAACATCACATTGGGAAAAAACATAGAATGATAGAGATGCTTCAGCTGCCTCAGGTTTATTATGGAGGATGAATGCTTAGCACCCACCACTGTCCATTAACTACAACGTTTTCCATTTACTCACACATTATATTCAGTTGGGTTTAAATTGGACCCTGAGTTCCATCGTTGCTTCCTGCCAATATGAACAATCACTTGTTTTATTTTGCACACATTTGGGCTCTAGGAAGTGACAGCTGCCTTTTATATCCAATGGCCTTTTGCTCTCTTTATAGAACCTCTCACATATACACACAGAGGGAGAGAGAACCGGAGTGAGATATGTAACACACATAGCACTCTGCTAACTGACTTTAACACTGTGCATCTGCCAAAACAGGCTCAAGTCCACAAAAGCTTATGTCACAATAAATAAATCTGTTTAGCCTTTCAAAGTATCACAAGATCTTGGTTGTGTTTGCTGCAAGAGCATAAAGCAGATATAGCGGGAAAGGGGGGAAATCAGTCGTTCCATTCATCTGAAAACTGATTTTTTTTTCCCCTCCCCTACAGATACACTACTCCCCTGATGAACTCTCAGATCCCTCTTGGGCCATCCATGCATTTTGCTCCTTCTCAAAATTAACATTGTGAGGTACATCCTGGCAGACAGCCAACTTCAACATCCATCTGGAACGTTTCTAAAAAAAAAAAAATTCCCCTCAAAGTGAGTGCAATATCTTTGTTCCTATGGCAACATACTGATGAAATATTTTGACTTAATGAAAATTATGTATATCATTGCTAGGAAGCTTCCGCATAGCTGCCATCTGCTCAAGTAAAATAGCCCTTACCATTCTCCTGAGATATCTATAGAATCCAGACAGGTCCTTAATCTGCAGTTTGGAGTAATAGCTGCTCTCTGCTTTCACTACAAAGAAATAAATTCCAGAAAGCAATTCTCTAGCTTAGAAGAGAATTAACCACTTATATGATGCTTGGAATTTCAAAGACCAGACTTTCATGGTTAGTTCAATAAATAGTGGTAATAGATTTTGAATCCAAAATAAACAATCCAAAATCTACATTGAACTGGTACACCAACTGAAAATTTACAAAGAAGCATGCAAGCTTTTAAGTGTCCAAAATCCCTTAATTAATTTGTGGGATCTAGCTGAAGGCTTTAAGAAGTATTTGAATAACTTCATAAAGGTCAAGTATTCTGAGGGTGATTAGTGTTAATGTTTCCTCTGTGATGGGGAAAACTGGTATTTTGTCTCCAAATACCAGTTGTAGAGTTCCTCATTCTTTGTGGTGAATATAAAGTACTAGCTGGATACCTGTGCTTCGCTACGAAACTATGTGATCGGGCTTAGTTTTGGGGGAGGAAAATAAGGAGAAAAAATCCACTGGTATTCATCTGGCTAGCTCCTGTCAGTGTGTGAGAGTTGAGGGCTGTTTGGAAACTGAAGCAGTATTTGCTGTGTGAGCAAGAAGGAGACAGCAAGGAGCCTGGGCATGGCTTAGATCAACTGTTCTGTACTAAAGCTGCTTGCTGCTGTGAAACTGAAACTGGAACTCCTCTCCTCTGCTTGTGTTTTGCATTTGGAACAGATTTCTTTTCAGGTGGGGAGGGGGAGTAGAACTCCTTAGCATCAGAGCGTATTAATAATAATATACAAAATACTAATTATCTGATGGTCATTTCAAAAAATCCTTTCTTAGCACCTAGAAGCCATGAGGAACATATGTGCCAAATTTCAAGTTTGTAGGCTTTATGGTTCTGGAGATTTTGTGATGATGCGTGAGTGGTATTTCACTTTTATATATATAGATTACAGTTCTGGTCAATTTTACAATTTGCAACAATCTAGGCCAGTCCTATGTTAGTTTTCTTCTCATGCCTCCTATTTTCCGAGTGCATTTACTGATTCAGTCCACAAAGGACTGATCAGCTTGATCTGAAAACTATTTCATCTCTTGCAATCCATATTTTATTTTGCCTTCTTAAAAGTCTATATATGTTTCCGTCTATTGCATGCTAAAGACCGCAATTTCTGCATGCTTCCAGAACAACTCCTCTTTACTGGATGGCCTGCTTTGAGTGAGCCTAAATGTTCCATCTTTGATCCATTCACACAAGTACATGGCACAAGAGGTCTATGTTGGGATATAAATTTGATGTGTGTGCTTATTATATGAGAAAAGCTATAAATTAATATGCTAATTGGATAATAATAGTTTTGAGCAGGAAACTTAATGCAGATGTGGAATCTTTCTTTGGTCTTTTTCTACATCTGTAGAAAAACAACTTTTCATACATTTTGATTCCCAACGTAACTTTCAAAATAGAAATAGACAAATATACACAGTAATGCACGGAATGTTAAAATTATGTAGCTTTGGATCAATTCCCTCAAGAAATAAGAATGAGTATAATCTTTTTGACTCATTTTTTTACGTTGGCTTATCTGCAATTAGTAAACCGACTTGAAAGAAATAAGCAACAATAGCTGGGCTTATTTGCAACACCGTTCTTCTATTTAGACAACAAAATGCCCTCTAAAACAGGGGTCTCCAACCTTGGCAATTTTAAGACTTGTGGACTTCAACTCCCAGAATTACAGAAGTTGACATCCTCAAGTCTTACAGTTGCCAAGGTTGGAGACCCCTGCTCTAAAATATTGCAGTTTTTCATCTCCATTCAATCAACTTGCAATCACACAAGTTGGTCTGCAGATTGAGCCAAATGCTACTCCAGGTGATATAAGTCTAAACCTTTCTTCTAAGGTTATGTGTGTTTCCTTGGCAACCCACCAGACCTCCATAACTCCAGGGAGCTACAATGGGTTGCCAACGAGAGTCTGATATTTAATCAACCCTCTATTTTTAACAGTTATGCAGCTTCCATGCGCAGGCCACATGCCCAGATGAAACGGGGCATCTTGCAGATCTTGTTTCCCCTTGACCTACAATTATTTATGTCTCCCTTCAGGACACATGCTTAATCAACGGTGACATAAAACAAAGTAGGCCAACATGTACTTAACACTTGCACTCCAGGCACTCTTTCTGTTCTCTGGATTTTGATTTGTTTTGTTTTGGCAGGGACTGCACACTGATTACAAGAGTTATTTTGGGAGAAGCAGGTAGGGAAAATAACACAATTATTTATATGCACTCTCATAGATTTTGCACCTCTTTAATTTTAAAGCTTTCTATCAAAACCTACCACTAGCATTGTTTTTTTTAAGTCTTAGTAGATCCCAGTCCATTGTTCAATGTGCCAAACCTATTGCTTGCAGTTCTGTGAAGTTAGGCAAAATTAAAAACACAGTAGATACAGATTAACAGAGTTGGAAGGGACCTTGTAGTTTATCTAGTCCAACCCCCCGCCCAAGCAGACCCTATAGCATTTCTGATAGATGGCAGTCCAGTCTCTTCTTGAAAGCTTTCAGTGATGAAGCTCCCATAACTTCTGAAGGCAAGCTGCTCCATTGGTTGATTGCTCTGCCAAAAAAATTCTCCTTATTTCCAGGTTGAATCTCTGCTTATTCAGTTTCCATCCATTATACCTAGTATGGCCTTCGAGTGCTTTGGAAAATAGCTTGACCCCCTCCTCTCTGTGGCAGCCCTTCAAATATTGGAACACTGCTATTATGTCTCCCCTGGTCCTTCTCTTCATTAGACTAGCCAGGCCCAGTCCCTGCAACCATTCATCATATGTTTAAGCCTCCTGTCCTCTAATCATCTTGGTTGCTCTTCTCTGCACTCTTTCTAGAGTCTATTAGAAGTGGAGCCTTGAAAAACTTTGACACAGCTCAGCAAGGCTCTATTCCAATACTGTTATCCCTGTTTTGAGATGGGTGAACACCAAATTTCACAAACAAAATGTTTGTTTTGGTTTAGAATAGGGATATCCGACTGGAAACTTTAAGACTTGTGGACTTCAACTACACAAAAACATATACTATGATCCAGTATGACCTGGGCCTCCTTGGCACCCATTACATGAAACTGCTACACCTTTCTCATATAAAAATGTTTTCTACCACTGCTTCTCAAATTTAGTGCAGAAAGCATAAGGTGGAAAGGTCCCAACCAACTGAGAGAGAATTTGAATTGATGTCTGACCAAATGAGAGAACAAACTGAGGAGAACAGGGAAAAAGATATAGAAATTAAATAGACACATTAGCTGGAAAAAAAGGTATCCAGGGGATTAATGGTTTCCCTCCATCTTTTTTCTCCCTGAAGGAAAATGTTCCAATAGTGAAAAAGCTAATGAAGTTAGAAGAAGACCAATGTGATATTTCAAAGCAAAAAAGCCAGACATGCTGGGGTTTTTTTCCTTTATCAGATAATAAGTGAAAAGCCTGGAGCTGCAATAGACCATGGGAATCAAAAGAACCATGCTTATCTACACTAATAACACAGATTCTACTGCAAGTCTTTGAATATCACCTAATACAAAGTACAAAACACTCTTGTCAAATGTTTTGTTTGCAAAATAAATCACAAAACAAGGATATCAGGGTAGGAAAACCAACTTTAGACCAAAGAATCATATAGACAAACAACAGCTTACCTGATTGCCCTTATGCCCCATAGGAAAGTTAAGCTTCAAACTCCAAACTTTAATTAATTAATACAGATGTTTCACTTTATCATCCCAGCGCTGATTGTGTGATTAAGGAAACTTTTATTGGATTATAAGTTCAGGTTTCCATGATCGATTCGCACCTGTGAGATATTTTGGAGTTCTTTGCAAACCTTGAATGGCAAAGTTTAGAACTGGGAGTGGTGATTTATTCAGAATAAGGAGGAAGCTTCTGGGTCTATAAACATATGACAAACAGCCAAGGAATGTTAGCCAGACGGACAGCAGCAAAACTGGCCTAACATGTTTCTCCATTACAAGATAGCTGTTCATAATAGCTCTAATCCAAGTAACAAAGTGTTTTGGAAGAATACTGACACATCCTGCTGTTGGCCAAATTATTACCTATTTCTGTACTAGAGGGATTATTTTTGCTGACAAAATCTGCCCAGGGGAAAGAACTGTAAATTATTGTTTATTAAAGTCTTCCACAGCAGCAGTATATTTTTCCTCTTTGCTTAGATTCAAGATACTAGCAGTCACCAGAAATATGCTTCAGCCACCAAAGAGACATCTCCTTCCTGTAGCTAAAGTTCAATGTTTACAATAGAAAAGGTAAAACGAAAGGCTTTCACTTGCAAATATAATTGTCCAGACCTTCACCAATCATTACTTCACCCAAAAGCTGTATTATTTCTTACTTCTGAGGTTCTAAGGCCAAGGAACTGCACACACTTTCAGTGCATTATTACACACCTGGGACAATGTGTTCAAAAAGAAATGACAAGGTATTTATCATCGGATCATCGATTTGCCATGCAGAAGAAAAAGTACAGAAGGCTAAATTAATTTAGCAAAGATTTAGTTTCTTTTTCCTCCCACAAGCATCACTTACAAAAGACATCTGGGGTATCTATATTTAACAGAGAACCTGGGAGGGGGGGACTTACAATATTTCAGAAGAGACTTTACCTCTCTTCCAAATCTTTCTTAATTACAAAATTATTCTGGGCGGGGCAATTTAGAAACAAGGCTCACTGTTCAGGTTCAAGATGGCTGAAAGCTAGAAGTGTGTGAATTCTAGAAGCCCCGGTGCCATTCAGAATGCCAAAACCAGACAAGACCATTTAAACCAGGGGTGTCCAACCTTGGCAACTTTAAGACATGTGGACTTCAACTCCCAGAATTCCTCAGC